CTATGGACTGAACTGCTCTCATTCAATTGCTAACATTAATGTGATGTATTGGATGACTAACTATAAACTTTAACAAATAAAATCATCTTGACATTTTTCAAAAGCTTAACAAATCTGTAATATAGTTTTTAGATTCCCTAATCACTTCCTGTAATGAATGGATCTTTCAGTCTTTTGAACAACAGAATGGAGGCATAAACAGTCTCTGCAAATCCCCTTAACAATTGCTTGTTTTGTCCAAACATCAAAACCCAAGACATTTGTTGCTTTTGAGTAACTGGCAATTGTATTTGATATATTACTGAGAAAAGTACTGCAAATGTATTGGTTGTTCTTATTATTAATCAGCTATTTTGTTGTTTCAACTCTAAAACAAACTTGTACAAGTATTTCAAACAATGCAGATACAAATAATCTTTACCAAGTGATTGAAGTCACAACAGCTGAAAGTGATGTTCTGGATGTCTGCAGACAAACTGTATCATACAATCTGAATATTGCCTCTGCACCACAAATAATCACTAAACAGAGCAGAGTGTAGGAGAGATTTTATTAAAAGAACATATGTACATGTTACAACAGAAAGCTTTTTGTGTTAGAGTTTAACAGAACGAAGAGATGAATACCTCTCTAAGTGAAGGTGAGCCTCATGGGAATGACGGCATGAGAAAAAAAGGGACAGAATATACGAGAACCCAAAAAAACAGAATGATGATTGTTGCAATGCTACAAGGCAGGGTTGGCAGCACCAATCAACAGGGAAATTCACAACATGGATCCATTCTAACCTCACAGATGATTTCACTCACTGGGTTTGGTACTTCAAGATTATTTTCCTAAGATGCCATGAGTCCTTTTATTCATCTAAATAGAAAAAGAAGTGGTGTGATATGAGGGAAGGGCTGATGGACTCCTGCTACTTTAAAATAAGAGCCAATGGCCTCGAGAACAATCCAACCTGAAACTGGCCAAACCCTGATACATACAAAACATCAATAGCAGCAGGTTTTATCTTTTTTTTCTTTAACAAACAAATGCAACGTGGGAAGTTCCACGTTTTGCCTCCAAAGTGCTCCATTACAGACACAGACATCATCAGTTCTCAGACCCTCTGATACCCAGCATCAGGCTTTTGACAGGCAGTAAGGTGCACACGGCGACGGCAAGTACATTCACACTGAAGAGAGCTTCACTGCAGCTTTGTTGCGCTGCCAACGGACTTCGGCTTTGTCGAGGGAAGTGCAAGGACAGACACAGAGAGAGACCGACGTCTATGCAAACTTAAGGAATGACAGAGTGTAAAGGTAAAGTAACTACCTTTGAGGAATGAGTTTTTTTTCCAAAGAAAAGTTTGTTGGCAAAAAGGCTGAACTATGTTGGCAATGAGAGTTTATCGAGATGAGTTCCAGTTCGGTGTGGCAACAGCCTACAGCTTCAGTTGAGCCGTGGAGCCCAACACCTTGACTGACAGGACTTAGCCTCAGATAGTAAAAACCAGACCATTCCAACTGAACGGTCTGAGTAAAGGTCCATGAGCTACCTTCCTGTCAGGTTGGATTAAAGTCTCAGTAGATGGTGAGGCTGACCGACCGATTCATCTTCTTTCCGATAAGTCTGGAGGTTCTGGGGTTGGACTGGACTGTGGAGCGGGTCGTGACCCTGTCAGTGGAAAGAACCTTCTCCTCTGCTGCAGCCCTGGCCATCTGGGCCTTCTTCAGCTCCCTGAGGAAGACAAACATACAGGTGAGCAATAATGACACCACAACTATTTCTTAAACTGAATGAGGGCTGCATATTTTACTGTGCTAATAATTGTTTTCACTATAGATTAATCAGTCTTTTAGTTCTGATTAATATCTTAATCATTTTTTGCTCCCTAACAAACTCCTACACAGACATTTAGAGGTGGATGGTTGATGCCTCATCAAAAACAGTAACAATCTTTTCCTCAGCTAAATTGTTTCTCAGCTGCCCTTGTACTTACTTTTGTAGCAGTGCGTTCTTGAACTTTTCCGCGTTGAGTTCGACTCGGAGCTGATCAGCACTCATTCTGGCAGTGGTGAGAAGCACTGGGTGTTTGATGAGATCAGAAGTTGATGGTCTCCTTGTTGGATCAGGGTGTATCATCAGCTGAAGTACAGGAAACAAATACAAGATTAGGCCAGAAATAAAAACTACTGAACAGCAATGGAATAAGAAACAAAAGCACAAAGTCATCTCCCTACAGAAATTAAGAGTAATAAATCATCAAGAGATTCTGTATAGGGCTGAAATTCATTTGTTTTCATAGTCGACAGTAGACTTCTTTCTAAATGTATTTGTTTGTTAATGACATGGCAGAACAGCCATGACAGGAAAGGAAGTAATATAAACACAGACATTTTCTTTAAGGTGTAAATCTAAAACAATCTTATGGTTTAAGAAGACAAAATTTCTAATATTCAGATCAAAGACTTGTTGGCTGTTACCTTGAGGAGGCTGAGAAACTCTGAAGAAAGCACTTGAGGGATGGCGGGGAGTTTTCCTTGTCGGATCTCGTGCCATTTGTCTCCATTGGTGGGAAGATGCTCAGCTCCAGATGCACTGAGAACAGTAAGAGCCAGCGCAAAGATGTCCGCCTTCATCAAGTTAGTGTAGTCCTATGGAGAGAAACAAAACAGAAGTTAAAGACCTTGTTTGAAGCTGTACTGGTTCAAAAGTGGAAGCAGTTTTTAGGCAGGACAACAAACCTCTTGTAAAACTTCATTGGCCAGGTATCTGCTGTCACCCTCCTCCACTTGTGGATTGTTCACTCTTGTCACATGACCAAGATCACCTGAAAGGCAAGCATGTACAATACAGATTTTAGATGTGAGGATGACCTCATACTTAATTTGTATAAATAAATATACATATATAAGTAATCGGTGAAATAAAAAATGAAAAGTTTCAAGTGCAGGAAGTCATTATATAAGAACTGTGACAGCATCTTACCAATTTTGTAGACAGCGCTGGTGACCATACCATCCTCCTCATCACATTCATCGCAGCTCGCTACAGCTTTCCGAGAAATAAAGATGTTGCCTAGGAACAAGACATTAATTGTTTTGTTAGTTTCTGACCAGAAAATCTTCATGTTAAAGAGTTTGGTTTCTTCACAGACTTGCATGAGAGGCAATATCAGT